GGGTGTGGGTGTTTTAGGCATGCTACACCCACATTCACCCTAAACCACTACTAGAATTAATCATTGAAAGCGTCAATAATCAAGTTTATATATCATCTCTCGAGAGTGTGGGTGTGTGAGTGGATGATGTGGGTGTGAGTGTATATAGGATGTGGATGGGTAGTGTGAGTGTGGGTGAAGGTGCTTATGAAACTTTAGTCCACACGCGCACCCGCTCCTACACTCATACCCAAACCCATACCTACTCTATCTATCTCTTCTTAAACAATTGTGTGCTGTCGAAGGATGTGGGCGTGGAAGAAATCAATATTCTCACACACCCACCTACACTCTCTCTCAGCTTTGACACGAAACAGACAGTATCCTATGCTCATCGGAAGTATGCGACTAGTTGTTGAAAGACAATATGATTCGTTCATATCCGAATATTAGATCAAAACATTGTTGGAAGATGATACTTTGATACAAACTCAAGAGAAATTTAGTCGAGAAAATGTACTCCATGAATTGCTTATATTCAAAGAAGAATTTGATGACAATGAACAAACTCTAGTAAGTTTTTGTTTGAGTTATTTATCCAATCTGATTGAATTTTTAAACAAGAACAATTCTCAGAAATTGAATAAACTATGAAGAAGTTTTTTTTTGTTATTCATTTCATTTCAACCATTTGATCTCATTGTTCCCAAGATTCGTCTTCGTTGGGATATTGTGTTTTTGAATTACTGAAATATCTAACATTAAACGATACAATCAATCTATTTTCCACTAATATTCTTCCTACACTACATCAATATGAAAGAAAAGTAGAGATTTGTCAATCTTCTGATGCATTTATTAAGATGATTCTTCGAAAATTCAATGCTGAACAAATTGTTTCGTTACATCTGTATACCACATCGTACACAAAAAAATCAGTATTATCATATTGAAACATTTTAACTTTCAAAAATTAGGTTCAATCAACAATTTTGAAATATGTTTTCCTAAATTAATGTGTCTTTTCCTTTGGTATGACAATGAAGCTAATCTTCATTTTTTGAATACTATTGTCATGAAACGAAGAAGTTCAATCGAACGACTTGAAGTTCATTGTCCCACATTGGATTGTTCTCATTCAGAAGCATATACAGATCATAATTATGTTATTCTGCACGAAACTTTCATTTAACTATTTTCTTCTTGATATAGACAGCTGTTCGTTCTCTTCAATTAGAAGTTGCTTGTGACATTACCAGTTATGTTCTTTGATGATAACAATTAATTTTATCAAACAAATGCATCTTATCCGACAAATTTGACTCATCATTAATCAATACCACGTGGATAAATTCTTAGATTTTAAATGAGTGGAAAAAGTTGGCATATACATGTGTTATTTTAAGGACAATAACTTTGAATGTACTAGAGTGTATGAAACAAGACGAAGAATTAGCGAAAAAAGCAGTAGAAATTCAAGATGCACTATATCTGAAAATTGAAAAGCGTAAAACTGAGGGTGTAGGTATTCGTTTTATCTAAATCCACGCTAACACCCAAAATGAAAACGACTTGTCCAACAAAGAGTCTTCAGTTAATTAATTGAAAAAGTAAGATGTTATTGAGTCTTATGACATCCCAAGTGAGCAAGAGACGAACTAACAGACTCGTCTTTTTTCTAGTCATGGCGACCCCTCATGCCCGGTCTTTGTCTCAAATTCGACTATGACATGACCAGTCCGGAATTTTTGACCGTCATGAAGCCCCATCTAAATTACCTGATTGATGGACGACATCATACGTGTCTAGTCTAGTCTTTTTTTTGAGAAGGCCTAGTCTAGGACTTGTCCGAAGTCGGTTTACACGAAACATTATTATCTATTGTGCAGACTAGTCTTAGACGAATACTTTTTGAGACAAAGACTAGTCAGGACGGACGACAGCGGCGCCCGTCCCAAATGAATAATGAAACTGAAAAAGTAAGGACGTCAGGGACGGTACATAGGACAATTGGTAGTCTTGTGTGTAGTGGACGAGTTCTGACTAGTCTAAATAGAAATATGTAAGGATGAGGATTAGATTCGAACATGCATACAATGTATTACACACCCATTGTTTAGACCATTGAGCTATATGATCAAGAAATTAACTTCTACATGTTTATAATCGTTCTACGACGCTATTTAATACAATTTTACTCAAAGTTGTTTTATGTTCACATTTAAATAAAAAATTATATTTTTACAGAATACGACATTATTTGGACAACATTAAAAAAGTAAATTCAAAAAAATTTGCATATTTTTTGGAAAAATGTCTTTTGATTATCATTAACTAAGGATAATTAGTTGTATTTAAAAACATAAATTTTAAATATAAAAATAAAAACAACTATTTATATTCAAAAGAAACTAGATTTTTCCATATGATAGTTTAGTTTTAAATTAAAATGATCGTATCTTCAATTAACAATTAAATTAACTTTGCTTAATTTAAATATATTCTTAAATTTAAAATAATTAGAATTTATATTTTAAATAGAATAACATAAAGTTATGATATAAAAAAATTTAAATTATTTTTCAGTTTTTTTTAAATATAGTACATCTAATAATTTTAAAAAATATAAATTAACATTCCTCGCTACGAGATAAATATTGTCCATTGCCCATTGTACTTCTACTTTTTTTGTTAGTTTCGATATACTCTTACATTTTCAACATAGGAAAATGCCAAATATAATAAGATATATGAAGACAAGAATGTGCAAAGTATACTATCTATTTTTGACCTCATTGTTAATTATAGCAGACTCTCTAATTGTTGTTCTACCTTGAAAAATATTCATAGTATCTTGACGATCGACATAGTTTCAATGTGAATAAATGCGTGTTATTAATTACCGTAATCACAATATAACAGATCAATCTTGATCCTCAATCCAGAAAGATTTGAGTACAAGACAGGAAATAAAACGATGGTTATTTCACTATCTAGTTCATAGTCTGAATGCATTTTATATTATCCAATGATTACTTTTAACAAATGATATAGATATTGAAAAGTTTTCTACTTGCATTCTACCTCTTGTACTTTCCATTATTGATTAGTTTAAACGAATTGACAGATATATTTGGTGTAAATAAAGTGGATTGTTTAGAGTTTTCAGACTAGTCTGACTAGAACAGGTGACATACTCTTTGAAAAAGGACAAGTCATGACGAGTGCAGACAACGCTTCAGACTAGTCCTGACTCTATGAAAGACATTTCAGACTAGTCAAAGTCGTGTGACACCGACTGGTTTCTGATTGTCTACTGGATGGACGGGGGTCAATCTTGTATCATAGACTGTATAAATTGACGTCAGTCTATCTCACTTTCCTAGTCTGCCATCGGGATGCCCGTCCGATTTTGAATATTGTCGGGTTGGGTGTTCGAATCTATCTTTCATCTTCTTTTTTTAGTATTCAGACTAGTCTGGACGGGTTCAAAGGACACAACGGACTAGACATGACTGGGTTCAAGGTCTTTCTAGACTAGTCCAGAAGTGTTTGAAATACATTTCTCCAAAAGGTGACTAGTCATGACGGATGTGCAAGACGTTTGAGACTAGACTTGACGGGTGCTGCGGACATTTCGGACTAGTTATGGACGCCGTCTTTTGTTATTTTCTGCTCACTTGGGCAGTCGCATCAAAAGTATAAAATCGATATGAATAAATATTAACCCTTTGAGTCCTGAATTTTTTCTACTGAACCGAATTTGATGAAACTCTGTATAAACTAACTGACATTATGAAGCATATGGTTAAATTACAATTAAGAAAGCAAGTGGCCACATGAAGATTAAAATATTTTTGTCATTATTGCATTTTAATAAATACAATTGCTATTATAATTATTGAAATATTTATTTAGTTCATTACTGATACACATAGTTTCTATGATACAACAAAAAAAAAAATTTTTTTACACAAAGACCAACACAGCAAAAGTTTTAAATTATATTAGTTCTTTTCTCTCTTTTTTTTGTGCTATAACAAGCGCATCGACGATAAATTGAAATAACTGTTACGAGATGAACCAAAAGTTGTGATTTTTCGGAACTATTTGTGTCGCTTATGCTCCTTTCAATGCGATTTTTGCTTCTGATTCTTTATGTAGAAAGCTCTTCCGATCCTTTTTTCACTACGATAATTAACTACGAATACATTAACCAATAAACGACATATTCTAAATATCCTCGAGTACCAAATTGGTCAAATCGTTAGCCTCGATATGAATAACCTATGCTCACTCAATTTTTGGGCATACACATTGACATTGCGTATTATGTCCACAAAAGATAATTGTACTGTTGAGGATTAATGTAAATAAAACAAATGAATTTAATCTTTTGCAAACTACTGAATTATCATAGTGCCTCATATATATCTCCTGAATATAGATTTTGAAGAACAGGAAAATAAACGAAAAATTTTGAAAATCCAGGTTATATGCTCAAACCTTTTTTGGACTAAGGAAACTTTACATGATGCAATTTTCAAAGACCTCCATATGTTCTATCACTCACGCAATCTAATAGAGACCTTTATAGCTTCTAACAGTTATTGAGAATAGTTATCCAGGATCTATAAAAATTTGAGGATTAGAAAATTCTCAAGGTCGGACGTATACATCCCACTAGGACTCAAAGAGTTTTCAAAAAGAGAATTATTTTTCATTTTCTAAAAGAAAAAATAGATCCTACCAAACATGAATAAACTCATAGTTATGAAATTGTGTATATTAAACTATAAAAAAAAAATTTCTAGCTGTTCATCTGCCTATGACATTACTTGTTGAATAAAAAGAGAGAGAAAAAAAAATTGATTCGATCAATTATCCATTCGTCCATCGTCAATTTGGATTATAGAAAATGTGCCACTGTTTATATTGACGACGTCGGTCAAATAAAACACATAAGTGTATCGATATAAATATTGACATTTTTAAAATAAAGAAAATAGACGTAGATGAACATGGAATATTCATGTGTTCAATTGACTGATTTACCAGATGAAATTCTTATAACTATCTTTAAAAAATTGGCTAATATAGAAGTACTTTATTCTATAGTAGGTGTCAATAAACGGTTAAACAAAATTGCATATGATTTTGTTTTTACAAATAACTTGGCTCTTCTGATGTCGACATCAGATGGTTTTGTTTATTCATTACATGATCCAATACTTGATCGATTTTGTTTACATATTTTACCTGAAATTCATCAAAAAATCAAATGGCTTGAGCTTGAATCACAATCAATGGAACATATTCTTCTTGCTACAAATTATCCTAATCTATGTGGAATCAGTTTATATAATATAGAACCAGAAAAAGCTATAGATCTATTTACTGGTAAGATATTTTACGTTTATTCTTCCAATGATAGACACATTAAATCTATAAGTAAAATAAATTTATGATCATCATTAACTAGATGATTACAGATTTTATTCAATTGAAAATAATTTTCTATTTATTAGTAGGAAGAGAAGACGGTTGTTATCAAAGAGACTATTATATATGAAATTTACATACTTATATAAAAATAAAAGGCGTAAATATTGTCTCCAACTGAAAGTTTCAAAAAAGTTTTTGCAAAAAGAAAATGTAAAATAAAACAGATGATAACGTTCATGATTGTGATATAATATAACATTTAAGATGCAATATAAACGAATACGAAAGTCTAAAGAAGAAAATCAAATATGTAAATTATCTCATTATTAAAAGATGAATAAAGTATACATATTTAGATTTAAGCCAAGTCCGTAGGCAGGAATTTTCTAAGTGAAGGCTCACTATGGTAAAAAATAGTTTTTGTTAGAAGGGGTCCCAGCCCTTTCTGGCTGATGCTCTGATTTAAGCAATCATATAAAATCTAATAAAATATTTTTCTCAATGATTTTTTTTTAATCTTCTCATTGTTTAGATGAAACTTCCGTAATTCGTATCTTGAAAAATCAACTCTTATCACTCACTATCAACATTACTATAGCGAGAACGGAACATTTTTCAGCAGATGTTCATGACTTTATGTTTACACATATCTTTACTATGTTTCCTAATTTACAATATTTAAATTTTTGTCCATATCCAATTGGTGACAAACGATTATCAATTCATAGTACAGCTCTAACTATTATCTCTACAACTTTACTAGAACTACACGTCTGTTTGAATAGTTTTCAGGATTGTCTTTATTTACTTGATGGTCGTTTCAATAAGCTCCATACCCTTTGCGTTGATATTCTTTTCATTTACTCTTCGCGTCGAACAATCAAAAATCAAGTAGAGTATTTTTGGATTCATGTGTAGTTTATTCAAATGAATTAATAATATTGACTTTTTTTTTCTAGGAAAAACTACCTACTTTAAAATCCTTTTCGCTATACTGTAATATGAGAACATTTGTTTATGATGAATTGATTTTACCACTTTTACATCGAATGTCAAATTTAGAAGTACTTGATCTGTGCCTTATTGTTGAAGGAAGAAAAATATTTGTTGATGGTAATGATTTGAAGATGAATATTATTAATCATATGCCACGATTAAACAAATTCATATTTAATATTCGTTCATGGAATTGTTTTTATAATGAAATTAATTTTCCATCAAATGAAAATATTCAAAATACATTCAAAGATTTTAAAGATAAACAAATTATCTGTTGTACTGATTATTTTCCAAAAGAAAAAAAAAGTCAATGTCATATTTATTCATATCCATATAAAGTAAAACATTATGATAATATAACAAATAATTTTCCAGGTGGAACGTTCAAATATGTTCGTAAAGTATCATTATTTGATGAACATCCTTTTGAACATGAATTTTTTCTTCAAATTGCTCAATCATTTCCATTGATGAAATACTTAAGTATAACTAATCAAAAACGACAAATTAATAATCAATTTAAAAAATCAATGAATTTATCAATCATTAAATATCCTCATCTTAAATATCTTTGTCTTGTTGATACTTGCATAGATTATCATGAACAATTCTTACTCGATATCAAAACATGTTTACCACTTGATGTTAGTGCTCGTATGGATTATAAATTAGTGAAAAAAGTGACGCGGAATTTTAGAAGAAATACAACACGAAGTAATTGTGCAAAACTGAATTACGTATATTTACATCGAAAATTAGAACGTCCTGGACATTCAGACAATTTTTTTCCTAGAAGACCACAACTTCCTGAATATGTAAAAGACTACTTTCCTCATGCGGAAATAAACTGATTATTAGCAATTTATTATTTAAATGAAACATGAATAAAAGTAAATTGATTTATATAGAATTATAGTGTTGAAATGGAAAGATGGGAAGGACAGAGAAGAATGGTAGTTGAAAACAGATATTGAAGGACATATTGTTACAAATGAAAATGTTCTATCTGCTTGTGCTTCATACACTTCAGAAAAAAAAACGTATTATATTGATTGTTATTTGTTTTTTAAAAAAAAAAATTCTTGCAAAAATAATGGTTATGCTGTTAATATTATATTAAAGTCCTTTTATATTTATGTTTCATGTTTGATCAAATAAATAAAGTATATATAATAATATCAAGAGAACAATTAAAGTTG